GGTCCTGCCCCAGCGCCTCCTCCCTCAGATCCAGGAGTCCGGACCCCCGGCCCCTCCTCCCTCAGACCCAGGGGTCCGGGCCCCAGGCCCCTCCTCCCTGCTGCTCACTCTGGCTAAGAAACTGTTCTTCTCAGGCCTCAGGCTCACACTCTGAAAAAGGAGACCCCTCCTATCTTGCTTCCTGGGAGAGGATATAACTCCCAGAAAAAGAAGTCTTCTTCTCCCCTCTCTTTCTGTTTCTGTTTCCTCCAGGGACGTGGGCACAACGCGGGAAGCTGGGATGTGGCTGCAGGGCCGGGGTCGTGGGCAGACAGGGCCCTGCAGGCCCCGCAGCTGCTTCCCAGGGGCAGAGGATGGGCCAGCTGTTACCCCTGCCTCCCTCCCTCCCAGGATTTCCGCAGAATCTTGGAGGCCTAGGTGTTTCCCAGAATTCCGGGTGTTGGCTGCCACTGTCCAGGGGCTACCCTGAGGGCCCCCGAGTTCCTGGAAGTCCAGAGGCAATCTGCTTCCCGATTTGGATCTTGGCCGATCCTGGAGCGCCTCGCCTAGGGTCCCACCTCCCTGGGAGCCCCTCACCCCACCCCTGTCAGGACTGGCCACTCTGGGATGCCCCCCAGCAGCTGGGTAGGGGTGGAGGGGGTCCCAGCGCTGGGCTCTCTCCCTCCCACTTGCCCTCTCTGTCCCTCCTCCTCCTCCTCCTCCTCCGCCCTCCCTCCTTCCTGTTCTCTCCTTTCCCTCCTTCCTCTTTCCCTTTCCTCTCGCCACCTACCATTCTGTGTCACCAGCGGGATCTCACTCATCCACTCACACATATTTGTTGGCACCTACTGAGTACCGGCCGGTCCGCATCCCGAACGGTCACAGACAGGACAGGCAGAGGCTGCGCCTGCTGGTGGCTGGTATGGAGCTTGCATTCTGGCAGGCGAGATGCCCGTTATCCAAGAGCAGCAGTCAGTGGGCAAGTTATACGTTAGGCAGGAAGGTGGAAAATGCTGTGACAGACAAGAAGGAGCTGGGGGGGGGGGTGTGCGGGTCCTGGGGGGGGCAGGTTTCCATATTAGACGGGGCGGCCAGGTAAGCCCGCCTCCCTCTTCCCTTCTTTCTCCCTCCTTTCCATCTTTCGTCCCTTCTCTCCCCTCCCTCCTTCCCTCCCTCTCTCCTTCCTCTCTCTCTCTCCCTCCCCCCTGCCTCCTTCCACCCTCTGTCTCTTCACATCTACACTCTCTCAAAGCACTTGCTCGTCCCCCAGGGGGCAGGCAAGGAATCACTGAGAAGGGCCCTTGCCTGAAATGAGGCAAATGCCGGCAGAAGGAGCTCAGGGAGCTCCCTCCCTGTCTCCTCAGGGTCCTCTGCTCAGCCTCAGGCTGTGCTCCGCCTTTCCTCCAGCCCCACAGCGCCCGCCTGCGTCCCAGCTCAGACTCACTCAGAGAAGACCTTGATGGTAGTCCTCCGTCAGACACCCTGGCCCGAAGGTCCCGGGCCCTGCATCCAGCCTGTCCCTCGGGGGCACTCACAGCCAACGTGCCCTTCCCAGCTCCCAGCCCCTCCAGAGCTTTCCAGGATGAACCCCAGCCCCCGAATCTGCCAATCCCAACCCTGCTTCAGATGAACCCAGCCAGGCACTGCACCCCCCCACCCCGCGGTTTCACCTATATGCTTCTGTATCAACCAATCTAGACTTTGCTGACTGGCCCAGGACACTTCCTGCCTTGCATGCCCTTCAGACTCCACTTTCTAAACACCAGCCCTACCCCCCACCCTTACCTTGGGTAATTCCGCATCAGTCAAGATTCTGCTCCTCCGGGCCATCACCTCCACCAGGAAGCCTGCCCTGACTCTCCAGCTCTGTCGGTGCATCCATGCACACTGGTCTTTGATCCTCTGTTTACACAGCTGTCTCCTCCACAAGATTGGCATCCCCTCAAGGGCAGGGCCCAGGTCTGAGTCATCTATGTGCGCCTGGCATCACCCCGCCAAGAGCCTGGCCCACCAGCGGTGCAGGAGATGTCCCTAGAGTGAACAAATGTTCTTCTCCCCTGCCTTTTCTCCATTTCTGCCTTATTATCTCCCCACTCTTCGCTCCTGCTGTCTGGTGCTCTGTAAACAAGACCCTGAGGTTTTCTGATGATGATGGAAATCTTGGGAGGGCCATATGTACCCAGGGCAGGGATCAGAGATCGGCCTCCACTGGGTGAGGGTTCTGGGAGAGAAGGCTGTTAGTGAGGGCAGCAGGAGGTGATCCCACCACTACCGCTTGCCTCCTGGGGAGTGCCTGGTCCCATCTGTCCTTGTCAGCCTCGGTCATCTCTCCCTGCAAGGAATTCTGGGAGACTGGACATGTAAATCTGAGGGAGGAGGGGGCTGGGAGCTTGGGCGTTTGGCATTGAGGGAGGACGGGGATGGGGGTCCAGACTCCTGATTCTGAGGGAGGAGGGGCTGGGGGCCTGGACCCCTGGGTCTGAGGGAGGAGGGGCCGGGGG